ACAACCATCTCTAGATGGTTTACAGAGAATGGGCCAAAAAAAGGGAAAACATCCAGTGAGCGGCAGTTCTGTGGGGGGAGATGCCTTGTTGATGCCAGAGGTCAGAGGAGAATGGCCAGACTGGTTTGGGCTGATAGAAAGGCAACAGTAACTCAAATAGCCACTCGTTACAACCAAGGTATGCAGAAAAGCATCTCTGAACACACAACAGGTTGAACCCTGAGGCAGATGGGCTACAGCAGCAGAAGACCACACTGGGTGCCATTCCTGTTAGCTAAGAACAGGCAACTGAGGCCACAGTTTGAACAGGCTCACCATAATTGGACAATAGAAGATTGGAAAAATGTTGCCTGGTCTGACGAGTCTCAATTTCTGCTGCACCTTTCGGACGGTAGGGTCAGAATTTGGCGTCAACAACATGAACGCATGGATCCATCCTGCCTTGTATCATCGGTTCAGGCTGGTGGTGTGATGGTGTGGGTGACATTTTGTTGGCCCACTTTGGGCCAATTGGTACTAATTGATCATTGTTGCAATGCCACAGCCTACCTGAATATTGTTGCTGACCATGTTCATCCCTTTATGACCACAGTCTAGCCATCTTCTGATGGCTACTGCAGCAGGATAATGCTCCATGTCATAAAGGTTGAATCATCTCAGACTGGTGTCTTGAACATAAAAATGAGTTAACTGTACTGAAATGGCCTCCACATCACCAGTCTACCTATCTATCTATCTATCTATCTATCTATCTATCTATCTATCCATCCATCCATCCATCCATCCATCCATCCATCCATCCATCCATCCATCCTACCCAATCCATGTAAGACGGGTTCTTTCTTGACCACTAAGACCAAAAGCAAAGAACTTTTAAGAACAAAAATCTCCCGTTTGGTTCACGTCCAGGGATATCCATCGCCTATGAGGAAACACCAGACCCCTTCTCGAAATTCTACGAAAATGAGAACTCATTTTAAGAATCCTTCAAATTTGGACAGCCTTGTCGCTTTGCTGTGATGTAATTGGCCTGAAAATGCGTACTTAGAAGGATGCAACCACTGATTTGGACACAGTCCTAGTCAATCCAATTCAAGATGGCCACCACCGTTAATAAAAATGAGCTAACACAGAACTGACTATAACTCAGTCCATTTTTATTAAATCTGAGGTAGGTTTGAGTTGTACCGTTATCCTGCCCAAACAGATGGTTTATGTTTATGTTTATGTGTTTAGCAGATGCTTTTGTCCAAAGATGGTCTTAGCTTCAAACTCTGGCAACTTTTTAAAAGAACAATACAACCCAATACTACAGAACAATAAAACCCAAAGTCGATGTCAAGCTCCATCAGAAAAATGATTAAGACAATACAACTTTTTAATTGCAATGAGGTTGCGAACATCAGTTTTTGTCCTCAGTTTGTCTTTGGTTGATTTTATTTATCTTTCAGCTAAATTTACTGCAGCCACACATTGTGATTGTAACTTTTCTTTCCCCAAAGAACACATATAAACACAGAACATCCCATAATTTTGTTAAATGTTAAGTGAAGTGCAATTCATTCAATCTGAAGGCAGTAAACGGCGGTTGTTTCTTCCATCATTTTGTCTCATTAGGCCCAACATATCAAACAAAACATTATCATTATGGATGAATCCATCCCACCCAGGGCGATGGGATCAAGTTTTAGGAAAAACTAAAACAATTAGCCATGTGGAGCATTTGTTTCACATTATTTTTTCACAGTTTGATGTTAAACTGAACCAGATGCTGTGATCCAGGTTGTTTGTGTGAGTTTTGCTTCTCAGAAACGCTTGTTGACACCTCCATGTGATGGTCAATCAGTCCTCGGCGTGAAGGCTCTAACTCAAAAATGACGGTGTTTGTCCCGTCAGTGGCAGGAATAATAAAAAGGGGGCTTTTCTCTTAGTGACGCATCTCTTCATCACGCTTCATGTGGTGGTGATTTGCTCTGCTTACTCATGCTTCTACTCCTGACAATTTAATATTTATCACAGTCACTCAAGCATTCAGCTCATGGGGCTTGCAACACCCACAGACCTCTCACATAAAGGAGCTCTCTGAGATGGGTCTATTTCGGTCTCCATTATCTTCTCAAGTCAGTCTGGATGAGGCAGAGGAGGGTCACAGGGGACTCCTTCGGTGACATGTCTGCAGATATCTCCAAACAACAGCCTTCTGTCTGACAAGTCTCTGAGAAGACCGTCACAGAGCAGACGCTACGGCCGAGATGAGAAAAGATATCTGCAAAATCTTCTACCCCATTAAGGCTTTAGCCACATCTATTTTAGGAGAATGTCACACTAATGACACTAGGTTGATCTGTTTTAGCACAGCTGCTGTTTCAGTGATTTTAGTCTACAGCAAAGTGCATTAAGGTCTGTATATCTTTATCATGCCTGAAATAAGCACAAAATATTACTCAATTATAGCAATTTCAAAACTGATGTTCAATATTGGCTTTTTAAAGATATACCAGTGTTGTCCTCATTCCTGGTCCTGGAGGGCTGGTATCCAGTATGTGGTAGTTTAAACCCTGCTTCAACACACCTGATTTCGATCAGTAGGTGATTAACAGGCTTCTACAGAGCCCAATGAGCTGCTGCTGCACAGCTGATTCAACCACTGAATCTGGTGTGTTGGAGAAGAGGAACAACTAAAACATGCTGGATACCGGCCCTCCAGGACCAGAACTGAGAACCACTGCAATATAAACCGATACCATTATATGCAGGAAAACTAAATCATCTTAGGTAACTAACATCACATATCTCCTATGATGCTTTTTTTTTTACTTTAAACATTATCTCTGCAAAATATTGAGGTTAGGGAATTTAAAAAGGAAAATCTTGTCTCCAACAGCAGCAAAATCCCATTCTCCCTGAGAAAATTCAGAAAAGCGCCCACATCACAGAGCACATTTCTGCTTCTTCATACAAAATAAAGAAACATTTCTCAAAGACTAGACCTCGGATGTGTCATATTTTGACATTTTGGGTGAGAAGAGAAGTAGCTGAATAGTTTAATCTATAATGTGTGCATGTAGAAGTTGTGTTGTTGAAGGGGTAAAACCGATAATTCTAGACATTTTCATTTCAATGTAAACTGATAAAATCGGACATCCCTAAACCGAACAGTTCAAGACAATTTGGAACTTCCCCTATGACTTTTCTTAGCAGTTTGTTTTCAGCAGTTGCAGCCCAGTGAGATACAAATTTTATCTGGAATAGAATATTTATGCATATTGTTCTAATGCTATGCAGCACAACAATTTGACTTACCGTAACATGAACCGTTATGCTAATTTTTGTATTTTTCATTGTGTTAAAGGAGACATATGACCTTTTTCCTAAGTTATAATAGTTCTATGACCTTTACAAAATATGTTTATGAAGTTCTTTGTACAAAATCCCTCTAAAAATAAAGATATTTACGCAGTTTTATTCTCAAAAGTTTCAGTACCTTCCAGAATGAGCCATTTCAGGGCTCTGTCGCTTAAGAAAACAAGCTGGAGCTGGCCACGCCCGCACCCTCACTCAGGCTGCTATAAGCTGAGAAGCTTCGATATCTGGGAGGGACTCAGGGTAGAGCTGCTGCTCCTCAACCCTGGAGAGGTGAGAGATGGTTCAATGCAAACTTCCCCATTTATGACATCACAAACAGGGACTTTTAGGCATATAATTCTTAAAACCTAACACTTACAGAAAACAGATGTTTTTTTTCTGTTTGGAGTATAGAGGCAGTACCCACATGGCATCACAAAAAGGTGCTAAAGCTAAGTTTTAGATTGCATGTTCCCTTTAATGTGTTTTGTTAGGTTTGTGTAATACACATCTCCTTTTTGCATGCCAACTCAAAACTGTGCAGGTGGATTACTTACTGGAGGCTAATTCTGAATGTTATAATCTTTTGTGAATGTTAAAAAGACAAATAAGCGGCCAAATCAAGAACCGAACATGCATTCTGAGGCCGCCAGCCACCCCCTAAACAAAAAGCAGCTATAGTTTTAACTCCAAAGCATCACACTCCGCTTTGAGAACTCTTCTTCTGCTGTCAGTCTTTTATTGTAGCTTTATGAATAACCGTCCACATTACACTGATGGGTTTGTTTATACAGCGTCAAAGCTGACTTTCTTTCTTTCATTCAGTCTCTTTACCTGCATGTTCCTGTTTGAGGTCGTGCAGCCTTTAGGCTATCCCAGCATGCACTGGCAGGGTATAGCTACAAAACAATTTAACAACCGCTGAACACAAAAACAAACTCCTCTTTTTGTTTTTATTACAATTCTAGTGTCGAGTGATTGAAATTTTAAATAAATATTAGAAATAAAAAGCATTTCCTCTTAAGACCAGGAAATGTTTTTGTGTTAGTCTGCTAAAGCCCATCTATCCAAGGCTGTTTAAGGCCTTTTTGATAAAGAAATGACAGAAACAGTAAAGACTGCCACATGTGCATCTTTTAATAGCTGAGATAAACAGCTTATTCCAGACAACCGAAGAGAAAATAGTAATTGCCATCAAAACACCAACAAAAAGCAACTGATATAAGCATAAATGCTTCATATTATGGCATATAAACCATTAGCAGCTGTCACTTAACAGAAGAACACCCTGTGAGGATCTGAGAGATCCATCCCGGCTTGGCCTGGTTCAGGCGCAGGAATGGGCATGGCGCAGGGAATCGCCTCAAAGGAAACAAGTATTAACAAGACGTTTCAGATTGTGAGCAAACAAATCCAAGCTTTAATACCAAGGAGCAGCAGGTAAGTCAGCGCGGATTTAAAGTGTCAGGGCGCGGATTTCCATCCTTTTATTCAGCAGCTGCCCTTTTTTTCTGCGCCTCAGATGTCAAATTAAAACCAGAGCGCTACTTGGACACGCAACTGTTTAGTTGTGGTTTCTTGGCTTCTTGGAACACAAACTGAATTTAGTTCTTTAAGAGCTGAGTAACTTGAGGAGGTTTGAGATTTACATTTTTCTGCAGGAGATGAAAGGCGGGCGCGGTTTTTAGTGGAGATGTTCTCAGGTGCTTCAGGTGCGAGTATCCTCCGCTGGATTCCACGTGGAGCTTGTAAAACGTTCCTTAAAAGCTCCCATCTGTTCCTGGTAAATAGCAGGAGAAGTGGGACTCCTGCATGTGAGATGTGTGTAGAAGGAAAGTGACACCGAGGCGCACAGAGCGCAGAGATCAGGTTAGAGACATGCGCCGCAACAGAACATCTCCAAACCGCATTCCGCATTCTGAAATCTAATCCGGGGACATCAGGATGTGTGACATAATCCCCAAGCCATCTGAAAACTGCACTCCTCCAAGCGGGGCTCCGGGGGTGGTTTGGAGAGACGTGGAACTGGGTTTTACTCACTGTTTGCTCTCGCTGGGATCTTTAAAAGAGGGGCGGACACAAACTGCCCTCTAAACGTCAGAGCGCACGGAGCTATAAATCTCTCCAAGCAGCCCTGTGCGCCCGGCGCGGCGTAATGCGCGGACATCTGTCCTGCTTTGGTCCAAGATGAGAACGACGCGTGTGGATACATGAAAACAAACTGACCTGGAGGGAAATGGAGATGATTCACCCCGGCCCTTACTCCGTGCCACTGGGTGTTTTTAAATACTAACGCATTGTGGATATAAGGAGACAGGCTGGATTTTTTTTACTCTGGAAAACAGATCCACCTTTCGTGTTGGAGACACTGATGTCTTCATTGGACTCCTCTCACTCCGAGATGGTGGACTTCTCTCGGATTTCCAACGTGGAAACGTAGCATCCAATTAATCAGCGACTGCAACTAGTTCTCCGTCAAGGGAAGCAGAGGCACTCGGTTCTTCAGCCACCAAGCTTGTGGACTCGAGTTCGGAGAGACGCGCGGTGTGGTCCGTGCGCTGGATTTGCGCGCGCTAGCAGCTTGTTTCCCTCCCCCTCAGTGGGACTAATTCCGTTTTGTGGGCATTTTCTTCTAAAGGATTCTAAATTTGTGATTTATGCGGCCACGTCAACAGGGGACACCCGATGAGGTTTCTGTTTGGATTTTACCTCCAAGGCGGATTTTAGGTCTGCATGGGCCATATTTAAGGTGAGAGATTCTCTAATCGTGTGTGATTTTACAGCGTAAATAACCGTGGTCACCAGTGCGCAAAAGGCACAGCAGCTTCCTCCTGTAAGCGCATTCTGAACAGCATGCAGACTTTTTGCTTATAAGTTTAAACCTAAATTTGACCACGCATAGATGTCTCAACTCAGCGTGCCATCAGACAGTCACGTAAGCTTTAGGATTCACCATCTGGCCAACTCACCATTATTTAGGGTCTTTGTGCCAAAAACGCTTTGGCGCGACGCATTTTTGTGCGGGGCGCACCCTCTGCGCCTCAATGCAGGCAGCTATAGCTCCCCTTTTACCACAGCGACTTGATATTTAAAAATCAGTCAGAGAAAAACGTAGTTAATCACAAGTACGTTTCTGTTTATTATATTTACGCGTCTTTACGCGCAAATTTACGCATGTTGTGTCTGTTTAAGGCTACTGTAAAACATCCTTTTGTATTTAATCTGGCATTTCTGGTGGGTTTACAGAGATGTTTATGTTTACAGCACACAGCAGACAGAGAGGAGCAAAGGCATGATGACTCAGTTATTAATACACAATGAGCTGGGGTAGGTTTGGCTACTTTTGGGCAGCTTTCTGGCAGATAAATCGGCTTGTTTTGTCTCAAATTTTTAAATAGTACAAAATATTTATATGTATACATATTTATTTATTTTTACAGATTTCTTCATAGGAACTGAGTCTAAGATGAAGTTATGGGATGTTCTGGCCACGTGTTTCTTGCTCCTGAGCTCTGTTGCTACAAGGCCTCTCTACCAAAACTCTCCCCCCACCAAGAGGACTCGCTCCCGTGATTCTGTGTCCCTGTATGTGGAAGAGCCATCATTCCAGCCTGAAGACCACAACCTGCAGGACATCTCCATGGAGGATCAGTGTAAGGCACACAGAATTGCCTTGTCAAGTTACACCAACGTTACTAATTCCAGCTGAGAAACACCACATGGGTGGAGAGTTTTTATTGATAAGACTCTCATTCAGGTTATCTTTATTTGTGTTTTATTGCAGCTTTGAGTTTACATCGTGCTTCTTGTCCAAGCATTAAGCAGCACAAAACAGCTCAGAAGTAAACATTTTCCCTCTCTCACCTTCTGTTTATATTCATCCCTGCCTCTCCTTCTGCTCAGACACCCGTGACCTTTAGCCATCCACAAAAGCTCAGAAATCATAGCTCACATGAGAAAAAAACTACAAGAGTTCTGTGTTTATATTCGAGTCGACGGGCAGGAATTTATTTAGTTTGGATCAACGGGACACCGTTTCAGCTATAGAAGGGACACTAGATAAGGAACGGAACATTTGGAGCTGCCACTTCATATAATGTTTGGACTGTGATGACATCACCATCCTGCAACATAAGCGGAGACTATTAACTATTCACTAACGCCAAGGAGGGATGGGGCTCTTTAGATCCAAAACAGAACTCTTTCTAACTGCTAAAAAAAACATACAGGTAAATCTGCACTACGGATCACCTCCGGGAGCAGGTGCACGGTGCAGCCGAGCCATCTTTCAGCTGACGAACAATGGAAGGTGTCTAAATCAAAGGGTAGGTGTGTCTAAACAGATTGGCTCAAGCACACCTGATACATGAGTGGCAGCCTAATCAGCTGTGGAGCTCAGGCAGATCAGATAGCCCAGGTAAAGAAGAAGAGATAGGTGACACTACAGCACAGAGGCAGTGTTAACCACAACACCACCTGCCAGGCATATTCCCCCGCCCGCCTGCTGGGTCTTCTTAACGCACGTAGGACATGTCAACAGACACCCACACACAGACTCACACAGGTAACCTAATTACCATTTGGCTAATTGATTTGTGACACAAAAATCGGCTCTTTGGTTCATTGTTGCTGGACCTGCGGGCGATCCATTAGGAGAGACATCACTCTTTAATTGAACCAACATGTGGCTCAGGCAGTCCATCCCAGAGCAGATGGAGGAGGGTTGTGCTGCTGCATATTTTCTGTATAATATAAATAACTCAAAGCATATGATTTATTCCTCTCATTTTGTCCAGAAAAGTCTAGAAGTTTGGACTCATCAGAGATGAGATTTGAAGGTACTTCTCTTGGTGTGTTGATTTGTTGGGAGTCTGTTTCCGAGTGAAACGTTTTCCAAATTTGACTAAAAAGTTTAAAGGTGAGATTTTAAAATACGATCGGTCACTCTGAGTTTCATATGCAGGCTGGACGTGAAAATGGTCTTCTACCCCTATTTCCTGCATTAGCTGCAGGTAGAAAATCGATGGTGAAACTCTTGTGTCAGAAAAAGCCTCACAGATCTACTTCCCACTGAAAGTTGGCATGCATGGACTCACCCATCTTGGCTCATGACGAGGAGGGATGTTGTTGGTTTTAGCATCCAGGAGAGAGTAGAGCCTGTCTTGGTTAGTTGAAGCTAACCATTAGCATTAGCAACTCCACAACATGGCAGAACTCCTTCAGGTTTGAGGAGAAAAAAACACCGTTTCAAAACGAACAGAGGCAGTAGAAGAGTCACGTTTCTGATAACCAATCAGAGAAGAGATGTTAGAATATCATGCAGAATAATGAGTAAGGCTCCAAATCCTGCTGCAGGAGAGCCAGAGCTTTTTCCCACAGAGAACGACTCACAAGGCATTCATTCATTCATTCAGACCACTGCAGGTGTATTGGAGTAATGAGTGAATGTCCACTTTCACTCAGATGATGAAATGTTATAAACCCACAGCCAAGTCAGTCTTAGAGGCCACACATTTTTATTTAACTATAGCTAAAGCAAATCTCATATTGGTAACAATGAAGATCCTTCAGCCTCCGACTGATCCCAGATCAGCAATCCTGGATGGAAACAGCTCTGTTGAATCTGGTGTTTTTATCTGCAGAATGATTTGTGCTCCTAGCACTTTGAACGTTTTGTACAATTGATGTAATCTTTTCTCATCTGTCAGTTTTTGAGGGAGGATTTTGTCCAAAGTTATTTTGTGAAATGGCCGTCAAGGGTATGTGGGGTCGTCTTCCTATCAGAAGACTGATAAACTGATCCAGAGTCTAAAACCCAACCTCCATCACTGCGTCCTTGAGCAACACACTAAATGAAAATAAACAGTTGTGTTCCTGATGCTGATTAATGTGAAATTATAAAATACTGCATTAAGTGCAAATCAAACACAAGAGTAATCTATTAAACTAAAGAAATTCAGTCAATTGAGAAGAAATGTAAACACTTGCTGGTACAAATTTGGTAACTTTTGGTTAAACCTCCAGAAAATATTGTATTTTTATCAGGAAATCACATAGAAACTTCACTAAAATGATGATTTATTTAAATAAAAAAGGAGCTTGTCATTTTTCACATTTATTTTGTATCGTTTAATTTTTCTAATTTGTAGCATAAACAAATAGATGCAATGGCATCTAAAAGTACCAATATAAAGTTTGGGATTGCTGACCCAGCAGAGATGTCTGGTGGTGACAGAAATGTGACTTTCTTTCCATCTTTCCTTGTTCCTTCTTCTTTATTTGGAGCCTTTATGGGCTTCAGTCGTCATGCAGCTTGCTTGCGGACACCAGCTAATTACAGTGCATAACCTTGACAACTATAAAAATGTAAGATTTAGTTGAATTAGCTGTATTTTTTCTCCTCTCTGCTGCAGGTTTGGGACATTGGTTCGTGCTTTAGCTCCTCAGAACTCTCATTCAATAAGGTTTTATTTCTTCTACCAACATATATGTCAGTGTTTTACTTTAGCTGGAGCCACTCCAGATGGTAAGAGGAGCCAAATTTGAATGCTAAGCTCATAAAAAGTAACCAGAAATACCAGAAGAATCATTTAAATAATACACCCCTCATTATCTCTCAGATCGGTGTCATTTTTTTTTTTCAGTTTTACTCCTTTAGCTCTATGTGGTCATAATTTTTTGGCTGATCAGTATACATTTTTAATCATAATAGTATTTTGTCATTGTTATTGTTAATGTTCAGAATGACCACCATAAAGATGGATTTTAAGGAAAACAAAAGGAGTAACTGGAGAACTCAAAATGCGACTTCTGCAGTTTTTCCTCCTTCCATTTGATTTTACATTTCCAGTGATTGTTGAAAGAAGCTTCATGAAGCTTTTAAAAACTGGGATCCGAAATACTAGCAGCTATGAGTTGGGTTTTCTAATAGAGGAATCAAAAACAATCAATCTAATGTTTCTAAATTGGGAATTTGTCAGCTAAATCTGGCTAATGTGGACAAAAAGACTAATTCTGTTCTGGCTGCAAATAATAGCATTAAAACAATGATTAACTTTTGAGAATAAAGTCTTTAGAATACTTCTGATAAGCAATAATTCTTATCTTAAGTGTCATTAGGTGGAAATTAAACTGCAGATTGGAAAAAGAAAAAAAGAGTCACACCTAACCCTAACCCACACAAACTACCATCAAATATGCTACCAGTATTTTTCCATGTTATTTTATTTTAGATATTTTTCTAACATTAAATATTTGCATCTTTCTCAAAAATTTGGATGAAGATTGTTCAAATTTCTACTTTTGCATCTTTAAAGTCAAAATGTAACAATATTTGTCTCCCTAAAGCAGGAGCGGGCAATCCTGGTCCATGCACGTAGGTCGCTAACCAGCATGTTTTCGTTGTTTCCCTGCTCCAACACACCTGATTCCTGGATAATCACCTGTCCAGCAGCCCATCAGGCTCTGCAGCAGCTTGTTAATTACTAGCAGATTCAAACCAGGTGTGTTTAAGCAGAGAAAAAACTAAAACACGCTGAAAAGCAGCCCTCGAGGACCAGGATTGCTCACCCATGCACTTAAACCTGAAATATGAAATTATAATAATATCTGAACCATTTTTTGGTTGTTGAGTCACAATTCCGCAATATTAGGATTGTCCAAGACAAGAAAACTAACATTTCAGATGACTGACTAATATGTGCTCCTTTATCCTTCCTACTTTTTCAGACGACACAGCGGGTCTCTACCCTGAGCAGTTTGAGGACGTGATGAATTTCATCGAGGCCACAATCGGCAGATTGAGGAGATCATCCGAACCTGGCGAAAGCTCCAGGGGACGAAAGGAGCTGAGACCGAGAGGAGCGGCGAAAACGAGAGGCATGAGAGGCGAGGGCAGAGGTCGCGCGGAGAAGAGGCGGGGTCGAGGTCGAAGTGGAAAAGGAGGTGGAGGGGAGAAGGGGAAGGAGAGGATATCTGTACAGACTCGAGGCTGCTTACTTAAGGAGGTTCACCTCAATGTGACAGATTTGGGGCTGGGGTACCAGACTAAAGAGGAGCTGATTTTCCGGTACTGTAGCGGGCCCTGCGTCGAGGCTGAGACCAACTACGACAAGATCCTAAACAACCTCACACACAACAAGAAGTTGGACAAGGACGCCCCTTCTCGCACCTGCTGTCGACCCATTGCTTTTGACGATGATTTATCATTTCTGGATGACAACGTGGTGTATCACACGCTGAAAAAACATTCGGCCAGGAAGTGTGGCTGTGTCTGAGGAGGTCACATGACCGGCGGCAGCAGTAGCAGCTTCCCAAGCTGGTGCTTTAATGTGAGGGATCACTGTCAGACGTGCGTGTAGGAGGTCAAAGGAAGAGTGTTGTCTCACTTTGGTCAGTTTTCACCACGAGGACTCAGAGTGGAGTATACGGATTAAAAAAAACTTTGACAGTAAATTTAAACTCCTTTGGATAAAACACACACCTGCACAACTTTATCAGGAACTTTTTTTCCAGATTGCTAACTGCATTGTCAAAAAAGGTGAGAGTGAAGAAAAAAATTCCTTTTTTGAAGAGGATTTTATTCCCCTGGAACTCATTTTTTCCAAAGCTGTCGGACTCCAAAGATTTGAGGATCTTGGCTGAAGTCTAAATCAATTCCACTCCATAGATGTTGACATTTACGTCCAGAGCTGGGGAAATTCACTGGAGGGGACGACGACCGTGCAAACATACACATCACACCAATCACCGAGCAGCGCAGTTATAAATATATATATTAAAAGTAAAAAGTATGTATTAGAGGTATATTTATTAAGACGGAATTAACTTATTGTTATTTATTTCAATCCATTTTATAAAAGAAATAGTCTTTTTTTTCCTCCTTATTTATTTAATAGCTTCGCTTGTCCTAGATTGTGCCAAAGTGGAGCTTCTTTTTAAACAAAACATTTTAGGGCAACTCAGATCTGTTAGAAACCCATTTAAACGCTTTGTCCATATTTAGAGTCCACAGGTTTCCATTCAAGCATTCGAGTCATCACCATTAGCCACCGGTGTGACGTAGGCATCAAGAAAGGGCAAAGAAGGGGACCAATGGATGGTTTGTGATGGAGTAAATTGGTTGTCTTGAAGATTTTTTAGCAGAATGGGCCATGCTTCCACTACAAGGGTTCCGGGATATTTCTGGGAGGGGAGAAAATTTATCGGAAGATAAGTTGGCTAGGCTCTCTCAGCTGCTGGGCTGTAAAACCATAAAAATCAGCCCTTTCAGGACGTTGCTAAAGCCTAATTTATACTTCTCCGTCTGCGTCGGTACAGACGCACGCAACACCGTTATCCATCCTTTCGAGGGCTCTCCAGCAGGCTTTCAAGAGCGGACTGAGTCGAGCTCTCTTTTCTAAACATCCGTCCAACATGACAGAGAATGCAAGCTTGTGATAGGTCAGGATGCTGCTGTCATCAACGCCGCCATTGTGCCCTCAAAAACATAGAGAGCCGAAGGTATCTTTCGACAGACATGGAGATGCTTGAAGAATACCTCGTGGAAAAACTCTAAAAACATGAACGTTTTATTCCCACGTGACTGGAGGAGTGAAAAGATACGCAGCAAGCATTTTATTCATGGACAGAAATGAGGGGAAATGTGGGTTTAGAGGTGGCGAGTGCATAAAGAGGTGGAGGAGAATGTGAGACAAATTTGTCCGCGTTAAAAAGTCTCTGAAAAACAAAAAAATTAAAAATAAACCACTATATAAACACACTATCTTGGACCGGATATAGATAGACAAGATACCACAGAACAGCACTACACCCCCTGTTGTCCTGGCGGGGAATTGCATTTGCAACACTCCGCTGGAGACGAAGTCTGAGAGCTAAGCATCTCTGTCCGTGCGTGTCTCTCTCTCGTGGAGCAGACGGAGAAATATAAATTAGGTTTAAGACGTCAGCATATCCCAACCGTTTAGGTAGTGAGTGACGTAACTGATCAGAGCCAAAAGGCATTTGCAGACATTAAAAACATTTAAACTTCTTTTATTTTTTGAAGTACAGCATAACTTACTGAAGTTGGAGGATTGGGAGAGCAGCTATGTGATTAAAAATGTGGTGTTCAATGACCAGAAGAAGCTCTGTTTTTTACGGTGCTCTGTGAGCCAACAAAGCATCGTGAATTATGTCGTTTAGCTGCATTTTATGGAGCTGGGAGTTAAAGGTGATGAATACTCGTTTAATCAATGCATATGCAGTGGTCTCTAGTAGGAATGGATGCCTTGGAGATCGAACGTGGAGTGGGGGTGGGATTCCAGTGCACCATTTTGTTGAACTAGAAGTATTCCACACCTTTAGTAACATTAATTTTAAAGCAGCGAGAACATTGTTTATTTTCTTTTTCTTTTATTCCACTCCACCAGCAACTCTCAATTTAAAAATGCCAGTTGTTTTGGGCGACCTCTGCCTACTGAGTTACAACCAGTCGGCGGGGCTTAACCACAAGTTCCACTCAGCAAGTCTACCGGGACATTCCAAGTACCTACCCAGGAACTCAGTCAGTTCTTTAAAAATGGCTTGGAAAATGGTCCTTTTGCCACAGAGTTTTGGTAAATTTTCCCAGAGTTCCAATAGTGGAAATGGGCCAGTGGTTTGAGATCTGTGTTCTCCTACGACTGCACCAGACTCCTTTGTTTCTATTCATAATGATCAGCGTTTACAAAGAAGCAAACAATTCCTCTCTTCAAGGCAGTTTTCATATTAGTAACTCTACCAGGAACTCCTTCTACACTGTAAGAAATCAAACGTGGAATTTACTCAACCAAATTAAGTACACTAGTTCCACTAAACCTAGCTGTTTAAATGTAAAGAGTTATAGTTTATGGGGTCATTACCTTCCCAGTGGTATGGTTGTCCACCCTGGGACTAAGAGATCAGGGTTCAAGATCCTGTTGGGTGGTACCAAAGACTTTAAAAATGGGACCCAGTGCAGCTCTGCTTAGCACCCAGCTTTAAGTGGTTGGATTGGGGGGTCAAACCACCAAATAGCTCCCGAGCGCAGCTGTGTCTGCAGCTCACTGCTCCCCATGGGGATGAGTCAGATGTGGAGATGTAATTTCACCCGTGTGTGACGATGACTGAGGGTACATTGTTATACTAAAAGAAAATGTATAGTACTCTTTACATTTAAACAATTAGATTCAGTGAAACCAGTTGACAAAACTTGGTTAAGCAAATTCCACTTTTCATTTCTTAGAGTGTACGATCAGCTCAGCACTGGGCTCACACGAATCCAACGGTGCCTTTGAGGATCAGGTTTTTATCTTTTGGACAGAAGCTGCTAGAATGCTTGCCAGTCAGCGTTAGTAAGCGATCTGAAACATAATTCTGGCCTTTCACCGGTCTGAGCAGTGCGGTTGCGGTCCCAGTGAGCTCTCCAGACCGCCTACGTTTTCTGTCTGTGCTCTGACTGGCAGGTCTGATTCCCCTCAAAGGGGGAATTGAAAGTGATCCTCCAACATGAGTCTTAACCAGAAAAAATCCCCGCCGGCAAAGACAGTTTAAGGAAGATCTAGCTACAGTAGCGCCTGTCATCCTGCAAATCATGTAAATATCCAAAGACGCGCAAAAGAGCGTATTTTGGAAAAAATAATTGGATTGAGGGACAATGAACCAGGCCTGTCACGCTTTTCTGCTTGTAACAACTCGTCCAACTGATTTTATTAAACTACAAAACAAACGTGGAGAATGGAAAGAGGGAGTTGCTTCTCCCCCAGCGAGGCGAGGGGGACTTTAGGAGTGGAAACAAAGAGAGCCCTGGTGTAGGTCTTGATGTTAGCGCGGATTAGGGACCAAGGTATCTGAACCCACCCAGCAGCAAAGCAAGAGAGCCAGCTTTACAGTGTAATCCCCCAACACAGAACAAATCCACTGCATCAACATGAATTTAGGCCAAATGCACAGAATAAAGAACATATAACTGCAGCTTTTATCTCTGAATACCTCATCGATTGAATCCTGTTTGGACGACTTATCCGTTCCATGGAAGAAAGTAAAGATTTCTCGTATAAGCATCTTCATTATTGTTTGCCTGCTAGTTAGATGCAAATAAATGAATAAATAAGAATAAACCTGCAGTGTTAATATTATCACAAGAAGGAAATGCATTTGTTGTCTCTCTGTTGTGGAAAAACTGTGTTGTCTCACCTGTTCTGTGTTACAAAACCAAAGCTCTCTGCAAACTTTATTTTTGTACAATATTCATTTTATATCTTTTTACAGAATTAAACTTGTTTCTATTAAATGAACATGCCTTCTGCTATTGTCCCATAAACAACCCAACCCACAGCTCTCTGGGAGATTCATTTGTAAAATTTGTCACAAAAAACTAGGGAAGAAAACTGAAGTTTAATGGAAAGTTTAAGAGATAGGGCCTCCTCTGAGTGGTATCTCCTTCTGTTCTGGATTCTTGAACCGGAGCCCAGCAGGCTCGTATGGTAAATAAAGGCTAGCAGTAAAGTGCCACTGTGATGTAAATCAAAGCGCTGGAGAATCTTTCCACAGCACAGAGGGAAGATGTGTAAAAGCGAAGGCAGAAATGGCAGAGGCACAGACAGTGAGTCAGGAAACAGACTCCAGGTATTCAGAACTTGTCAGGATTAATTAACACCAGAGTTTGTGGAGGGAAAAGGAAATGATTTACACTAATCAGAGTTAATCATTTAAGTTTTATTTTATTTTCAAACACAAAAAATTCTGCTGAAATCTAAAATTCAACGCAAAACATACATTTTTTTCTTTATTTTTTGTGGAGTTGACACACACACACACACACACACACACACTTTAAAATCCCACATTAAGGTTGTTTTCAAGATAAGAAATTCTAATTTAGAATCTCCAAACCATGATTCAGCACATTTGATAATTATTGTCCTGTTGTGAGAAATTGGGTTTCCTAAATCAGAGCTCTACATTTTATTAAATTGATTGTTATCTTATTGGATTTAGTGCTGCATCTTAGTTTCCTAATCATCAGCATCAATGAAACATGCTCATGCTCAAAGTGGCCCTAGGATTCAAAACCACATTTACCTTGTTGTAGTTGAAGAAAGGTAGCTTGTGGTGTCTAATCTAACGTACCAAAACCTTGTGTCGTCTCCGACCTGTGAATGTTGTAATGGGCACGGAGAAACAGTTGAGTCTAAGATAAAATCTGCATGTCCCAACCCACTTCAATGTCAGAAATATATGAAAATTGGTCATGGTAATGATAACCGCAGTACAGCATAGCCTGAGCTGCTGCTGATGCTAGCTTAAGTGACTGCTAATCCTAGCGACTGCTAACGCTACCCTGAGCTACTGCTAATGTCTTTGTTGGACAAGTGGAAAACAACAAAGAAGAATGCAGAAGGTTGACATTCCAGGATGTACTGGGAACATCCAGATTTTCAATGAAAGCCAGATAGAACCATAGCTTGTCTACTGAGTTATCCGGATACAGTACCCAGCTGTACAGAGTTTCTGGCTTCAGGCAGAAGATAAAGCCATTCCATCCGTCCATTCTCTTCTGCTTATCTGGCGTCAGGTCATGGGGACAGCTGCAGCAGGGAGACCCAGACTTCCCTCTCCCCAGCCATTTGGGCCAGCTCCTCTGGGGTAATCCCAAGGCGCTCACTGGCCAGTAAAGAGACACAGTTCCTCCAGCGTGTCCTGGGTCTTCCTTTAGGTTTCCTCCCAGTTGGATGTGCCCAGAAAAGGTCACCAAGGAGGCATCCTAACTAGATGTTCGAACCACCTCAACTGGCTCCTCTCGATGTGGAGGAGCAGCGGATCTACTCCGACCCCCTTCCAGATGACCAAGCTCCTCTTCTTATCTCTAAGGGAAAGCCCAGACACCTTGCGGAGATAACTAATTTCAGCCGCTTGTATCCGCGGTCTCGTTCTTTCGGTCACTACCCAAAGCTCGTGACCATTGGTGAGGGTAGGAACGTAGATCGACTGGTAAATCGAGAGCCTCGCCTTCTGGTTCAGCTCTCTCTTCACCAAAACAAGCCGGTAAATTGCCCGCATCACTGCAGATGCAGCACTAATCTGCCTGTAGATCTCATGATCCATCTTTCCTTCACTCATGAACAAGACCCTGAGATACCTAAACTCCTTCACTTGGGGCAGAACCTCATCCCTGACCTGGAGAAGGTGTTCCACCCTTTTCCGACTCAAGACCAAGATCTCAGATTTAGAGGAGCTGATAGCCTTTGTGGTAAACCAGCCAATCAGCACACAGCTCATTTAAAATTCAAGTCCTGTCTGAGTGGGTGGGGCAAACCAGTCTGTCATTGAAAGGCTTTATTGCAGGGTTGTGTTTGGACATCAGGACTGCTGGGTTCACTGTGAGCCCCAACAAATTTTCATATGCTTTATAGAAGCTCCAGTTTACAATTGGAAACAAAAGTTGTTTTAGAACCTCTTTAAACACAACTGAATTCAAATTCTCCTTTTTAGTCCTCAAACGTACTAAGTTAGATAATATCAGGAGAATGTGGGTGGGATTTAAGAAGCTCTTTGTAATTTGAGTGAACTGAGCCTTTACTGGTTTCAGGCAAAGACTTCTATTCCACACACAACTTCTCCTTTTAACAAGTGAAAGTAGCAAATCATCTCACTGGAATGTAAAAATGTTTTTTAAAATGATCAATCCCATGCCGTTGAGGCTAATTTATACCCGTTTACTTGAGATCCTTTTACATTTTTAAATATAAAAGAATTCAAATATTTGTCTCCATTTAATTTTATGGCTGCAGAATGTTTGACTGTCCTATTGTTTCCATTTGGCAAGAAATAACTGGTTTTCTCTTTGCTCGTAAGTCGCTGAGCTGAAACATCAGCAAAATGAAAAATACCCAACTATAAGAGGAAAGATGTGATTAACTAAGAAAGCTTTTAATTTTTTTTTTACTAATTTATGGAACTGAAGTGGAGAAGTGAAACATAAGCAGAAAACATTATTTTTTTATTGTTCATTACTCTTGAATAAGGATATATGGTTTTGCTGCTTGTTTAGTCACAAACTGCTTTCATTAGGAAAAACAAAGGGCGCTCCCAGTAAAGTGTGGAAGGCAGAAGTTACATTCCAGAGAAACGTATAATACACAGAACACAAACATGGCTTTCATTATCTGTATATTGTGGCTTTCTCTGTCACTTTAAGTACTGACGACACTGTGCAGGTCATTCAGCAAATTCCTCTGGGTGGTTTTATTTTATCTTTGAACTGAAATGTAAAAAAAAAAAAATCATATTATGGATTAGTTGAACTTGAGCACACCTGTGTAAAATTACAGATTAGCCAAACCTGTGTGTTTTACTTAAATGCATAAAAAAAAAAATCCCAGAATCCATATTCAAAATTCCAATTCGGAGCAAGACTTTTAAGGAAAACCGGAGTCAGAAGTTGCTGCATTTTTCAACAACATTTAATTCAAGTAATGCGTAGCCTGTAAAAGACCTTTTTAAAATGCAGTAAGTAAAAACAGCTTTGAGAAGGACTGGCTGTTCGGCGTAACTTCAGGTTTGAGCTTGTGCCTCACGGGAAAGGCATTCCTTTGATCAGGTACGACAGATCCCACACAACGTCCCTTCAGATGAAATATCACTATTTGACAAGAGGAGACCAATTCCTTTATTTAAGTTTTGAGCAGTAAACATGATGTAGACTTGAAAATTATAATAATAAAAAAAGTCAAGTTAGAAATATTCTCACATAAAACTGGCAGAATTTTCACAAGATGGTTGCTGTTTTTGCGAGCGATTCTTCATGGTGATGAACGGCACCAGACCACAGAACGTGGATCTGATTTATGAGGCATTAAACATTGGAGATGAGGGGTGATGGGACAATGGAAATTATAAAAATACAGTCAATGCAATCCAAGCAGACGTAAAAAGTGAAGTGGTTCATGTGTTGCAGTGCGAGGAACATAAAACTGTAATTTATGTGCTTCCTCTGCAAACAGCAATAAAAATTAAGAGTCTTGGCTTCATAAGCTAACTGAAATTTGAGAGGGGAGACATTTCAGCTATTTAACTGATCGTGTTGGGCCGACCCTATCTATGTGCTTTGAAGTAGAATGCTGACTTGTATCAAACTGCTTGAAACAAAAACAAACTCCGTGGAAGTCTTAGATTTTGCGTTTCTTCCATTCTGGCTCTTTGTCAGCTTCCTCGTCCTCGTCCGATTCCTCCGCAAACACGGGCTCCGGCTGGGTCCTGCAGGAATTCGTAAAGATGAGCAGCGATTTAGCGTTTTTGTGTTTTTTTTTTTTTTTGACAAATTTCGAGCAAAAACATCGGACCGGAGAACAAAGTCTTTTTCCAGCTGTGAAGCAATGAATCAAGTCAGATAGTGGAGTTTTGGTGTGTCACACTGGTGATTTCTTCAAACAAGGCTTAATGAAGTTCATACTTATAAAATCATAAAATCACATTGAGTAGAAAACTGCAGTGATTCAAATGTTTTATGCGTGAACAAATTCCTCTTTAGTGCCAAAATAACCAACTAGATTGAGCAGTTTTAAACTAAGATGAATAATTTAGATGAAATGTTCAAAATTTAAAACATACAGGTTTTTTTTGCTAAATGTTAAAAACAAGTTTATATTTTAACCCTCTCAGGCTCAAAATAAGTTTTGATAAAAGGACGAACAACTAAGTCCTTCAGGAGTACTTCTGAGTTAAAAAATGCTCATGAAATACGTATGTGGAGTAACCAGGTAGGTAGGTTTTAACGTTGCAAGTCTGCAACGCCTGCCTCCAGAGGATTAACCTTTGGGTTGTGGTGAACATAAGACTCATATTTTGAACATAAATGTGAGATGCTGTCATGTCAATAAGGACCAGGACCGCTGAGCGATGTTTCACCTTGTTCAACTAGTGACATGAAGAATTAAGGAAGTCCAGAAAGAAAAGGAGGCCCAACCTGTTACTACTGAGATGTACCTATCAAAGTGTCCGATGGGTGTATTTAACCTGTACTGTGTACCAAGATTGTTTGTCTGCCTTCTTCATATTATTCTTTTTTCTACAGGTTTATCCAACATTTTTGCCTTTTTTGAGTTTAAAACCAATCTAACCCTGAAAGTCTGCTCATACAGTTTGTTTTCCAGGTCGATCAGAATAAACTCAAACTCCAGTATAGTTCTTATCTCATACGATTCTCTAATCAGAGAGACATGGAGGAAGACTCTTACTGTGTATATGCCGGGGCAATCCAGTAGGGGTTCTCTGATGCTTCCCTGGCATGCCGCAGGATTGCCTCTCGTGGGTTGCTGTCATCCGTTTTATCTAAAGCAATGTTCTTCACGATGAACGAAGACAAAGTACCGCCATGAGCTGCTACCCTTCCTCCTCGGCCTATGAAAGCCCAAGAATACAAACATTTAGGTCTTAACTTACAAATAATTCCACAGATGTTGCACATTCCTAGAAAGAAGGGGAAATTCAACAAATCCTATTTATGGGTTAAGCATTGAGCTTTGGCTTGGCTTGGCTGCAGATGATGATTTTTTCTATAATCTTCTAAACTCTGCAGACAGTGGCACGACCTTGAATCACAGATTTGCATGGGCAGATGTACGGGTATGTAAGCGATTTTCAACAAATAATGTTGGAGCGTTTGGGTTCTCTTAGCAGGTCAGTTGGCTTACAACTCATGAAATCTGAACATTTAAAAAGTACTGACTTCAAGATGATTTTCATTATATGGCAAATATCAGCTGAGAACTTGTTAATGATGTCTGGTGCAGCCTTCAGAAGGAGTAGCTAGCTCGTTTGTGAGATGCACAGCTGGATAGTCACCATAAGAACCCTTCCAAATGTGACTCACACTATTTCTTCATCCAATTAAGCTTTTGTTGTTATTTTTTCTACTTTTCTTAAAACTAACTAAAAGAGGCTGTTTGGAGATGGAGAGGCACATCTTTCCATTGCATGTAAGCATCCAGCCAAACATCCAACATTACCTTGCACTTATGCGACGTGAATTCACACACAAGATAAACATTAGAAAGACAGTCTGTAATCTGAAAACCACTGGCCTTCTATCAAACAGTCAGACTCGTTTTCATCAAATAAACCAACACTTTTACTTTGAATCTTTCTCTAAACCTCAGTGACAGTTGCAAATTTATATTTATATACAAGATAGCATGTTTGTTCTGAGCTATGGGCAGCTGAGTCACGAAAAATGTTCTAATTATTAATAAGCTGGTTTATAAACAAAAAATCAAGCTATATAT